CACCTCAGCCTCCCAAAGGCGCGGGATTACAGGCTGAGCCACCGAGCCCGGCTGCAATTTGATTTTTTTTAAACTGATTTAGCTCATTTCATTCTCCCCTTTCAGTTGTGTATGAGTCAATTTACTGACTCTTTAGTTAAGGGAAGGGAATTATAATAGGTTCTGGTATACAGGATTTCTACTGAGTTGAGTTGTTTTTTCTTCTTCTTCTTCTTTTTTTTTTTTGAGTTGGAGTCTCACTCTGTCACCCAAACTGGAGTGCAGTGGCCACTCCCGGCCACCGCAGCCTCGACCTGCTTTGCTTCGGCAATCCTTCCATCTCAGCCTTCCGGGTAGCTGGACCTACAGGCACACGCTACCACATGCGGCTAATAGTTTTTGATTTATTGTAGAGATGAGGGCTCACCAAGTTGCCCAGGTGGGTCTCAAACCCACGGGCTCAGGCAATCCACTCACCTCAGCCTCCCAAGGCGTGGGATTACAGGCTGAGCCACCGAGCCCAGCTGATTTGTTTTTTGACAAAGTTAACAAACCAGTTTAAATGCAAGGTTCTGTTGCGGGAAAACAGAGAGGCTGTGACACTGAGGCTATCTTAGGAAGTAGCAGTTTATTAGCACCAGCAAGCTAATGCTCCAAGGCTGAGCACTCCAGGGAAGGGGGAGAGGGGTCTTATACCTTAGTTTAGGCAAGGGAGGGAGTCGTGTTGTGTGAATATACATTTTCTTTTGGAATTTGCAAGTTTGTACTTAGCAAAACCAGATTTTCAAAGAACAAATGGGCTCCAGGATATGCATAACAAGCAGAGGTTGTAAACCATAACTTCACATAGAGAGGATTTGGGTTAAGGTCGTGAATTGGTTACTATCTTGCATTTCCAGGAAAGCCATCTTTGGCTATTTGGTCTTCTCAAGCAAAACCTGTCTAGCAGGTTTTCGGAGCTTGCAGATTGATCTTTAAAAGGAATACTTATAACTGTTATCAGCCCCTCTCTGCCACATTATGTTTTGGGTTAAGCTAGTTAGTTCCATTAGTCCTGTTTTTTTGCAGACTAAAGCAGCAGTGCTAAGTACAGCTGTCCCAGCCACACTTAATTTGACTAAGGTGGGGACCAACAGAGGAGCAGCATGCCTCTTTTGGGTACCAGGTGGTAAAATTAGGAGCGCACCCTTGGGGCCACTGTAGACATATAATTGAGGAAGTACATGAACAGTAATAATAAAACAGGCTTACTGTCTAATATTTTAGCAGTAACATAAGTGGATAAACCTAATGAACAAGCAAACCACATATTGGCAGGTGCAGTATAAGTTTGGGAATGAGTTATGGTCTTGGTAAGAGACCGATTACAAATTTTAGAAAATGGAGAAGCTGTTAAATTAAAACTTGTGGTTATTAGACAAGAGGCATTTTCAGTTACGTTTTTATGGTGGCTGTAAGGTAAATGAAAACAAACCAGGCAAAACAGCAACAAAGGAGCCAAGAAAAATTTATTAGTGCAATCCTGGGCGAGGTTCACCAGTCCATGTAGCTGTGGGCCAGAAAAGTCGTGCCCAGCAAGATGGGCGATGGGTTTATAAAGGGCACACTGAGAAAGCTGTGAGGGGATCAGGGAGAGCAATCACTGGTTGGGACAGCTGTCATGTCTGCTGGCAATTGACTGAACGGGGTTGCTAGAGTCGCTGTAACAGGTACTAGCTGGCTTTGTGGCTGGGGTCTTGGTTCTGGTTACTCATTTTTGCTGGCTCACTCTCACCCATTGTTCTCCTGGTCTGGGTTGGAGCCATCTTGTTGAGGCCCGCCCCGCCCTCCGGTACCTCTGGCCTTACAGTGACATGAAGTGTTTGGAGAACATGTTGTTCTGTCAGTATTACTGACAATAGGAGCATTGACCCTTAAACCTACATAATAAGGGGGTCTTGTTTTTAATAGAGTCAGCAATTTGAAGCTAGTTGTGGCCAGGTGGTATGAAGTAAACGATGCATATGAAAACAAGTTAAACTTATTTCAAGCATAATAGAGCAATAATACATTTAGTACATGAGAGATAAAACCGTGTTAACAGGACTTTTTTGCAGCATGGCCATTTTGCAGAAGCTGCATGCAGTAAGCAGTGCTGCTTAAAATTCTAGAACAAGTGGGATAACAAAAAGGAGAGGGAAGGGGTGAATGCACTGCATTTAGATAACCAGTCATGATTAAAGTTTTACGATTTTTGCTCTGTTGGCTGGTCAGGTGGTACAGGGCGATGGGCTTGGAGGGTGATTTTGAGAGGATTATTAGGATGTTGGTTTACAGTCCAGGTGTTGTTTGGGCAGAGGGGTACCTTAGCATTCTAGCCGCAGGCTTGGCTGAGCCAGGCTTTGGTGTTCGTAGCTCTTTTGACTTGCGAATGATGAATTTAGGTCAGTATTATGCCAACCTTGAGTGATGTTGGGGTGGTGAGGATGACCTTGTATGGTTCTTTTTAGGAGGGCGTCAGTTCTTCTTTTTGGAACTTTTTGACGTAGACCAAATTTCCAGGCTGGAACAAATGACACGTGTGGAGGTTGGAGTTGGCAGTACACCACAGACGTTGGTGTGGACAAGGTCCTGAACCTGCTGTGAAGACTGGAGATACTTTAACAGAGATTGATTAGTCAACTTTTTTTTTTGAGTTGGAGTCTCACTCTGTTGCCCAGACTGGAGTGCAGTGGCCGCTCCCGGCCACCACAGCCTCGACCTGCTGGGCTCCGGCGATCCTTCCGCCTCAGCCTTCCCAGTAGCTGGAACTACAGGCGTGCACTTCCATGCCCGGCTAATTTTTAATTTATTGTAGAGATGAGGTCTTGCCAAGTTGCCCAGGCAGGTCTCGAACCCGCGGGCTCAGGCAGTCCACTCATCTCAGCCTCCCAAAGTGCTGGGATTACAGGCTGAGCCACCAAGCCCGGCTGATTAGTAAACTTTTTAAGAATAGGATCCCGCAAATAGGGTAAAAGAGGAGGGTTTTTTTGGTTTTTTTTTGGAGTTGTGGTTTCGCTCTGTCGCCCAGACTGGAGTGCAGTGGCCGCTCCCGGCCACCGCAGCCTCGACCTGCTGGGCTCTGGCGATCCTTCCGCCCTCAGCCTTCCAGTAGCTGGAACTACAGGCGCACGCTACCACGCCCGGCTAATTTTTTTTGATGGATTGTAGAGATGAGGTCTTGCCAAGTTGCCCAGGCGGGTCTTGAACCTGCGGGCTCAGGCAATCCACTCACCTCAGCCTCCCAAAGGCACGGGATGACAGGCTGAGCCACCGAGCCCAGCTAGATTGATCTTTAAAAGGAATACTTTTAACTATTATCAGCCCCTCTCTGCCACAAGGACAGTTTTATTTTTTTGTGGCAAATGCTTTTATTTATTCTGAAAAAACGTTTACTAATACTAGTAAATAACTGCATTCTGCATGTGGAGGTTTTATTTTAGCAAAGTTTACTGTTTATTGTTTACCAGGGTTTAACTTTTGTGCTGCGATTCCTGGACGGGGTTTAGGTCCTCCCTTGGAATTGATGCGGGCACAAGCAGGACACATTAAAGTTGCTGAGTTAGCTTGGTTTTTTAAGTTGCTGATAATATGAAAATGGTTTCACAGTTTAGCCATTTTGTTTTTTTCTAGGTGGGTGGTAGAGTGGAGTTGTTTTATTAATTTTTCTTCAAGAACTTTAGGTAGAACAATTTTGGAGGTTTTTTTTTTTTTTTTTGGGTCGGAGTCTCACTCTGTCGCCCAGACTGGAGTGCAGTGGCCGCTCCCGGTCACCCAGCCTCGACCTGCTGGGCTCCGGCGATCCTTCCGCCTCAGCCTTCCGAGCAGCCGGAATTACAGGCGTGCGCTACCATGCCCGGCTGATTTTTTGATTTCTTGTAGAGATGAGGTCTCGCTGCCCAGGCGGGTCTCGAACCCGCGGGCTCAGGCAATCCACTCACCTCAGCCTCCCAAAGGCGTGGGATTACAGGCTGAGCCACCGAGCCCGGCTTGCCAGGTGGTTTTCAATTGCCTTTAGAGTGTTAGATTTTTGGTGACCTTTACAATGAATAATAGCTACTTTTTAAGGGAGCCAAATAGTTTTTAAGAGGGCTAATATTTTTTCCTTGTTTTTGATAATTTTACCTGCTGTGGTGAGAAGGCCATCCCAACATTAACCTGCTAGGCTCTGGCGATCCTTCCGCCTCAGCCTTCCAAGTAGCTGAAACGACAGGCACACGCTACCATGCCCAGCTAATTTTTGATTTATTGTAGAGACAGGGTCTTGAACCCGCGGGGTCAGGCAACCCACTCACCTCGGCCTCCCAAAGTGCTAGGATTACAGGCTGAGCCACTCAGCCCAGCCTTTATAAAGTTTTTAAACAAAGTTTATTAGAGAAAGAAGGGAGAAAAGAAAGGCAGACATGCCAGGCTGGCATGGGCAAAAGAAACCACCACACATAGGTTTTTAACTAGGAGTCAGAAACCTCAAAGCTATTCTTTGATTTTTTTTTTTTTCAATGACCTGAGCAAGAAACAGAGGCCACCCCCTTCATGAACCAGAATGGGATGGACTTTGAGGACCTATGACAAAACCTAGGTAATCAGTCTCAAGTCTGCAGTGAACCATGGTCATGATCAAAATTATTCCAAGCAGGATGATTATGCCTGCCTGGAGGACTGACTATATCATGAGCCCTCATCCTTGCTAAGCTAGGAAAACAAATGCCAGCCGGACTCAGTGGCCCAGCCTGTCATCCCGCGCCTTTGGGAGGCTGAGGTGAGTGGATTGCCTGAGCCC